GCAACGGATATACCACCTGCTCCCGAAGTACACGCGACTGGTTCCGCCTGCCTTCTCGAAATTGCAGCTGTAGAATGCTCTCTGACGAATGCCCAGAAGAAGCGATATAAGGCGGTATATTTGAAGCAAATGGGGACATCAAGTCCGACAAGACTTTCCAAACATGGAGAAAGCTGAAACTAGCGGTATCAATAATTACTTGTACCATATAAAATTAAAATTTTCCTGAGATTTCACCACAATTTAAATTGCGATTTTTTTTTAATTGAAGATGCCATCTCTGGGCTTCAGCCTGAGAAAATAGGGGTGGGAGATAATTAAATAAAAACTGGAAAAATAATAAATATAAATATTTGTCGTATTAACTTTGTGATTTCAGCTCTACTGGTCAGAAACCAGAAGAGATTATGCGATAGTAATGCGTCCTGCGTCCGTCCGTCTCTGTAAACAATGTTTCAAAATGCTACTCCTCCTACTGTACAGATTTGGTCCGATTTCAATATAACTTTGCACACAAGTAGACTACACTAAGATGCATAATTCTGTATAGCGGTTTTTATTTCGATGAACGGTGTTGCCGTGGTTACTTAAAATAGACAATTCTGTGAACTACTGTTAAATGCTATTCCTCCAACAGTTTTGGTTTAATTTCAATTTCAATAAACGTTGTTGCCATGGTTGATAAAATAGACATTTCTATGAAGTACTTTTAAAATGCTACTCCTCCTAAAATTTTTGTCTGATTTCAATATACAAAGAAGCGCATTGAAGTGGTAAAATTTTCCGTTCGAATGGAACGTTTTGAGCTATATTTAGAGTGTTTATTGTCATCTTTTGACACGCCCATTTCTTTAGAAATTGATAAAACGGTCAAGTTGTTTCTTCAAATACCTGTAGAACAGGTTTTCCATAAATATAATAGCCAATCAAATTGAGGATCTAAATAAACACCGAGTAAACACGTGTTCGACCAAAACATGTGTTGTGGTAACTTCAATAGACATGGTAAGTTCAAAAATATGTACATATTCGTTGCAGTTTGTGTTTAACAGAAGCGGGGAGTATCTAACTCCCTCTTCTATTTTTTTTTAAAGCTCCATTTCAGTGTAACTCATGATGCTTGTCGCGAAGAATGGGATGTCCTAAAACTACGACGAATATTACTTTCTCGTTTCTAAAAATATGGGCGTGTCATTATGTTATAATTGACCTTCAAAACATGACTCAGAACTTTTCATCCAAACGGAGAATTTTACCACTTCAATGCGCTTCATTGTAACTTTGCCCACAAGTAAACGTTTATCGAATTTTGATTTCGATGAACGGTATTGCCGTGGTTACTATAAATAAAATTTCTGTGAAATAATGCTACTCCTCCTACAGTTTTGGTTTGACTTCAATATAACTTGACAACAAGTAGACTACACTAAGATACATAATACTTGATATCGCGATTACTTAACTTAGTGGAACTCTTTCGCGATGGAGGTAGGCAACGTCTATTGGCTGTGGACAAATGTGCTATTAAATACAATGCAAGATCGATCATTGTAGAATTTATAAGGACAGATGAGTAAAAAATCCTGGTGGAATACCTTCCTGAACAATCGCTGAACCAACCTAATTAATTTTTGAGAGGAGCTCATCTTTAAATGTTACATTTTTACGACATTTTTAACCTAGCGGGCTCTTCTCACTAATTTTCATTGAAAATCGTCGCATTTTAAAGCTGATAAAATAATCTAAACTTTCCTTAGGGGACGACCATTTGATCCTGAGAGGGGGGGTGGCAATTTTTATTGAGACGGATTATTTATTTTCATGCCTGTCGAGGACAGATTATTTATTTTCAAGATTATCAAGGACAGCTTATTTATTTTCTTCTATGTCTTACCGTATATTGATCAATTGATTCTAAAAGACTAATCATTTATATAACATATTTGGATACAGGATTTGGGGAGGGGACAGGCATAACTTTGTCTAGGCAAGAGGTCTGGGGCCGCCATAAGGGCCCCAGTGGGTCCTGGGCGAAGCCCTGGTTGAGGCCAAGGGAGTACACCCCCCCCCCCTCCCCCACCCCCGAAGCTCTTGGGGTTTCGTGTATTTTAAGAGTAAAACCAGGCACTATATATAGTGGTATTATAGTGGTATTGGTTATTATGAACCAAAGTATGACATAATTAATACTGGTCATGCCGTACTTTGAATGAAGTAAGTTCAGGGAGCAAAGCCACCTGAAGCTCTTGGGTTTTTCAATATGTATAAGAGTAAAGCTTTTGTAGGAGTTGGTGAGATGTGTACCAAAGTATGACATTATTAAGTCATATCATATTTTAAATGAAAAGGGCCCAGGGGGCGAAGCCCCCTGAAGCTCTTGGGTTTTTGTGTATTTTAAGAGTAAAACTCTGCACAAAAATATTGGTATTATCCCAAAGTATGGCATTATTATTATTATTCGTATCATACTTTGAAATGTTAAGGTAGGGCCTGCGGTCTTACACATGTACACCCCCCTTAAATCCGCCAGTGTATATTTTGTATTTATTTATCTGGAAAGTATAATTATTCGAGAAGAAAATTTATCTTTTGTGGTGTATAAGAATTGGTTTGTATTTAAAGTTATTCATCACACCTACTAAGTGCACATTGTCATGTTGATAAACTGACTTAAGTATCCAGTCTGGTAGTCTGATTTTAAATACTATTTGGTTCTAAAATGGCGAGCAAAGCGAGCCCCCCCAAAAAAATTTTGAATTGAAGACTTTTGAGATTAAATTACACGTAAATAAAAAAAAAAGGTATTTTTACAATATTTAATTATCAAAAGTCAAGGTCAGATTATTTATTTTCACTGTAGTGCAGGACAGATTATTTATTTTCAACATTTTCAGGGACAGATTATTTATTTTCAAAATCTGCCAGCCCCCCCCCCCCCCCTCCCCCTCAAAATCAAATGGTCGTCCCCTTATATGACAATCTACATGTTCTATTTGGAATTCAATTCTTGGCAATATATTGTACTTTCGGCATAAAATTGTTCAAATCATTCGATTGTCACTACTGTAAACAATGCCATGTGCCCCGGTAATCTCGTGAGATTTGAGCTTTCTCGACTCCCCCGCAAAAGAGCAGTAGTACGTTAGATAACTGCGAGGTAATCGCAAAATTTCGTATTCTATATATCTTTTTTTTTTTATTTTGATGATTGATGTTGCCATGGTAATTAAAATTGAAAATTCTGTAAATTTTATCACAAGTTACTTCTACATTTGTAGTCTTATTGCAATCTTGCTACATAAAGAGATTTAATCAAGGATCATTATTCTTTTTAATTGCTTTTGTAATGTTTTAAGTCCCAACTTCTTCTTTTCTCCTCCTTTACTATGAGTACAAACCAGTAGAGCTATGGTCTCGACAGGGACTTCTGGTTTAATATTACAATTACAGACGAACTCAGACGATTTAATGAGTAACTTGAGGCCCTCTCGGCACATGATGTAACTGCAGCGTTAACCAAAATCTGATCCAGCTTTCTCTATCCTTAAATCAGATGATGCTTATATACAGCAGGTAGCAGTACAGAAAAGAAAAGGAAGATTGTTTGTACATTGTTTAACGTCCCGCTCGAGAATTTTTCGCTCATATGGAGACGCCACCATTTGCCGATTGAGAGCTGCAAATTTTGTCCTTTACTCGGCACTTAGGGCCATTGAGCAGGGAGGGATCTTTTTCGTGCCAGCACCTACTGCGACACGGGACCTCGATTTATACGGTCTCTTCCAAAGGACCGGTCACCACGTCCCGCAGTGGGATTCGAACCAGTGACGTAAGGATTGTCTCCTTACTTCGCGACTCTAGAGCAGACGCTCTAACCACTGCGCCACGCGGGCGACAAAGAAAGGAAGAAAAGAAAGGAAGAAAAGGGTTAACTAGAACAAAAAAGAAAAACAATAAATTATTAAGAATAGACTCTTTCTCTATGACAAATTTTGGAGTTATTTCCCTCAGCCGCCTTATTGTAGGGCAACATATCCAGATCCCTTCATTATTCAACAAGTTCGATTAGTTGTACTGGTTACTGAGGTAAATATAAAAAAACACTATTTTTCTTATGAATATACGTTTGTTAAAGCACTTATTAATTCATGAGTATAAGATTGTGAATATTTTTTCCCATATACTTCTTGCATGCATTTTTAAAATTGGTTGCTCAAAGAGGTAAATTCACTACTTTGCCCTACAAAATGGCGGCTAAGTGGAATAAATTCTAGGTAAAATATGTCACAGTACAGGGGTCTATTGTGTGTCAAAGGACTGTTTAAAATCGTACTGGATTTTTTTTTTCATCAATAGCATGGAGGGTAGAGGGATTTTTTTTAAACTCCAGGAACGAAGTTTTACTGGAGATAATGTCTCCTTTTTTTCTCCCAAACATGACATATAACTATTGACATTGTTTGTTGAAATGCTGGTTTTCAATCTCAACCAACCGCCCCCCCCCCCCCAACACGCCAACATGGGAATGATTTAAAGTCGTATATTGTGTATTTTGCTAAGTTCAGGCTTATTTAAATTAAAATATGTGTTTGTGAAACACTGATTCCCCCGTTTCGCAACATAATGAAGGTTAAACTTTTCTTAAATGCAAATTAAATATTTTGGTACACAAAGAAGTAGATTTTCTCACTAGAAAAATATGGAAGCCATAGCACCACCTGTTAAAAAGTTATTGCAAAGGACTAATTTTTGGAAAGGTATAGTTCACATTCCAAGGTCTAAGGGTAAAAGTTTTTGGTTTCAAAAGAAAAATGTCTTGTCACAAGGATTTGAAATACATAACCCTATGCGTTCAACAGTTATGGCCAAAGTTAAAGTTTTTAAAACTAAGTCAAACTCCATGGTCAAATGGGTAAGTTCCTGTTTAATTAAAAGTTTAACGTCTTTTTAATTTTATTTCTTGTTTGAAATGTTTCTAGCACCTCTTATAAGCATGTATATTAGAACCTTCTCACAATGATGTTTCTGATATTAACAGCACTGGCAATATTTTGTGTATTTACAGTGTGGTTGTTGAAATAGATGGCGACTTGTCCGGCCAGTGGTATAGGAAGCTTTTCTTCAATGGCTCGATTGTGAAGACGACAGCAGCATTCAATAATCCTGACACACGTTGCAGGGGTGTATGCCAAAGCTCCTCCTGTTTTGTGGAGACATCTGAAATAAATTAAGGATTTCTATCCCTAATGGGACCAAATTCTCTACCCTTAAATGTCCGTCAAGTACACAATACTCTGATGTTATATTAAAGCATTTATTGTGGAAAAGGATTGTCTGCGAGAAATTTTTAAAAATTTCATTAATTAAGCAGTAGTATATTAACAAAGATTGCATTGAAGTCTATGGGGAAAGGCGTTTTTTCGAAATAAAAATTCAAATAATTTGAACATCAATAAATCTGTAATGAAATATTGGAACAATTTAGAAATTTTTTTGACGAAAAGTTTTTTCCCCTTAATATTTGGTATGCATACCCCACTAATTAAGTTCTTTCAAATGACGCCAAGGTCAATTGCATACCGTATAAGTAGAATTTTTAGCAAAGATTTAATTTTGGCATTATTAGCGAGGGTGGTGATATCACTATAATTGAATATGGCTGAAAATTAATTGTGCATTATTTATAATAGCTTCCTTTTGTTAGTAAGCATTTTAAAATCGCTAAAATTATTTCTCGCTAAAAATAAACCACCCGAGTTTAGGTAGAAATCGCTAAATTTGCGTCTCGCTAAAATATCCACTTGTACGGTATATGCTAAAAAAGCTTTTTTGAACTTTGTTGCCGCTGGACGCATAGTGTTTCACAAACACACACTTGTTTAATACACATGTATATAATATTGAGTTTTGTGTGTCTGATTATTGCTTGTTTTTTTATGTGAGATTGTCAGTACTAAAAACTAAATCGTTTATTATTCACTTGCGGAAATCTAGACTTGAGACTCCAAAGGCCCTGTCCACACAATTCCTAGTCTTGATGTGGCTCTCATTGAATTTCTCCTCCTGTCTCATCTGAGGAGCCAGAATGGGTGTCATTAGCCAGGGTCTGAGAGGATATCCACTGTCACCCAGGAGCCAACCTCCACCTGGTAGCTGATCCATCACTTCAGAGATGCTGCTATTAGCAAGTATGAAGGCATCATGTGTTGCCCCTCCATATTTGCAAACAATATTTGTGAATCTGAAATACATTTACATTGATTTATAATCATGTTGCAATTGAATAATGTATTATTCTCTTCCACATTTTTTTCTCTCTGACGCGTGATAAAAAATGCAGATGTTAGCTATGTTTTCTGCACATTTATGTAGGACATTTTGATTTATATTTAACCTTAGTTCTATATTTTCCTTAAATAATTTAGATTCTAAAAAATAGTAAACAAACTTTCATCTTCTAAAATATTACAAATGTACTAAAATTATATGATTTGTACTTACTTCAGGACAGCTGTAACAATACCCTGCATGTTGATGGCATGAAATCCTTTCCGAAACACAAATACGTGCTCGTCGTCCTCAGACATTCCAATGATGGGAATTAGCGTGCCATCAATGGCCCCAACAACATTCGGGAAGTTAGACACTTTCAAAAAGTCTTCCTTGATCTGGAGAATGTCAGCTTGTCCAGAGGGGAAGGCGATGTTGTTCAGACTCTGATTAAGGGCATCTACGACATCCATGAAGGTCCTGCTGAAGGATGGCTGTGAAATGCCATGGATATCTGCTGCCTCGGACTGAAAGTCGCCTTTTGCCAGGACTCTGAGAGTTGACAATACCTGTGAATATATAATTTAATTGTATTTTCTTGTTGGATATTTTTTGTTTTCTTTTCCATATATTAAATGTCTTATAAATATACATGTATAATTTTTTTTGATCACCTGAACTAAAAGTGCCAGTCAGCTTTTCTGATCATATTCTGTCTGTAGTCCATCTTTATTCAAGGAGAGATGATTAAGAAATAATGAGAATTTGGTGCCACATTAAAAAAAAAAACTTCTCAAGAACCACTGGGCCAAAAAGTGAAAACTTAGACACTGAGTGTAGATTAAAATTTGTTCAAATGATGACCCCTGGGGGTTAGGGTGGAACCATAATGCGGTCCTTTTGGATGAGACCTAAAAACTGAGTCCCCGTGTCAGCGGCAGGCGTTAAGATAAAGATCCCTCACTGCTCAATGGCCCTGAGTGCCGAGTAAAGGTCAAAATTTGAAGCCCTTCACCGGCATACGGTGACATCTCCATATGAGTGAAAAATTCTCTAGAGGGACGTTAAACAATATACAATCGATTTTTTTTAAATAATCTTTAAGACGTTAGTCCATGCGACGTCTGAATTTACGTCTACGTCTAAGAACTTTCGTAAATATTTACACTGGATCTGATGAAAGGTCTCGTCACATGGATTAAATATGTAAAGTATGAAAGCACTAGCGGCAAGCCCTAATCCTTCAAAGGTTATGGTCAAGGCTTGTTTTTAAAAAGTAGGTCAAACTCCGATTTTAATGTCAAAAGATCAAAGATGTTGGTTTCCAATGAAAGGTCTTGTTATTAGCATTAAGTATGAAAGCCCTAGCCCTTACTGTTCAAAATTTCTGGCCATGAATAAAGTTTTCTAAGTGCATAAATCTCCAAGGTCAATGTCAAAAGGTCAAATTTGGTGGTAAGAAAGGTCTTGTCAAAAGGATTACACATTTGAAATATGAAAGTCGTACGTAGCTCCATGAAATCAAAATTATAATCAAGTTTGCAGACAGATTATGGGGGCATAAAAAAGATCTTTCTATTTGATTTGTTACTTTATGTAAAGATAGAACATTCCTGTAAATAACACAAGTGAAAGATGATTGAAAGTATATTGTTTAAATATTGCAATTGATGATTTATATTTTTCTTTTTTTAGATACCGTGAAAACCATAGATGATGTTGTGCTATGTAATTGATTGGTTGTCTGTTGTTTAATCCCCTCTCGAGATTTTTTTTACGTATAGGAGAAAGGCTGACAACTGTCCAATCTGTGAGATAAAGAACTAATCGAGGGCCATAGAACATGATTCTTTTTGTTCTGAGAATTTCAATTAATTGTTTACAGAATGGACAGTAATAGGTAAAATTTGGGTGCACAGCAAATTGTTGAAATAGCCATTGTGTTTCCAGATGCGAATAACAAAAGATCTTTGTCTAGAGAATGGACAGATTCAGGTTGAGATGCTATTACATGTATTTATATAAGAATGCAGCTCCTCAAAACCAGTTTATATTTTGCGCTGTAAACATGTTTCCCTCCGGTGGGAAGAATATATGACAGAAAGGAAATTGAATTGAAACCAAAAGGGTGTACAAAACCAGTGATATTTTGAGCAGAGAATAGTAAGCGTAAAAGAAAGTATTATTCAAACTTTGATCCCCTCAAAACTTCTTCGACGACAAATACAGATATATCGAATTCAAAGCGGAATTTGTTTCTAAATTTGAATTCAAATTTTGAGGATATTTTAATTGCAGTTGTATAACTGATCGCTTAGAAAAAAAATTTGGGGTGTTGAAAAAAATAAAGGTATGGAACTCTTTTCATGGGGTACCTACATTTAAATAGAATGCTTTACAATTTTACTTTGATTCTATCCATATCTATTCAAATATAAAGAATCTTCATTACTACCAAAGTTCATAACGTAATTCCTTATACTTCTAGAGATATTCTGAAATCAATTCCCAAATTAAATTGACATTAATTTTTTTACTTGACATCAGCTTGGGCCTTCTCTAATTGTAAAGCGGGAAGAGCGGGACAAATTTTCCTCGGAATTTATTCTAAACTCAATGAATATTTGCTCATTTGCATTCAAGCTTTACAAGGTTTTTCTTTAATTTGATCATATGGTGTAACTTAGTCATAAACAACTTTTTAGCGGTCTAATTGTTTTGAAAATCGAAAGGTATATAATGCATTCGTTCTACCATGGCTTCATTTGTAAACATTCATTATCAACATTGCGGTAGTTCTTGATGTAGTCGTTTTCAAATTAAGTTTTCGCGAAAGGAATATTATTACGGACTTAACGTTACAATCTGGAGTAAGAAATTAATTTTAAATTGTTGAAAGATTTTGTAATGACTATGCAACTCTTCGCCGAACTTCAAACACCGTCTATTTATATGTGAATGACCAGGGGCCCAAGCTAATGTCGAGTAAAAGAAATTAGGTCATTTTTGAAATTGATTTCAGAATAACTCAAGAAATATAAAGAATTTCGGAATAAGCTTTGGTAGAATTGAAGAATGTTTATATAGGAAAAAATTAAATAGAAAGTAGAATTTTAGAGCATTAGAATAAAAATTATTTTATTAGCGAAATTAGGTACCCAGTGTAAGAGTTCAGTACCTTTATTTTTTTTTTACACGCAATTTTTTTTAAGCGATCCAAAGGCCTGTGCTGTTAAATTGTGTTCTTAGTGTTGGATAGCCATGAGCCAAGTTTCGACCTGAAAATGTTATTTGATGTTGCGCACCGTGTTGGTGTCACATTTATAAATATAAATGACGTTTAACGTCACGTAAACCAACGTAAAAAGTACTCATATAAATGAGCGACTTAGTAAAACATGAAACATAAACATTTGCATGAAGGTATAAATGCATACTGAAGAGTTCTAACTAAATGCGTTCTATATAGTTAAAGTGACCTCCCCTTTTACGCATGTTGGAGTAATTGGAAATCTTCAGTAAATTACACAATTTGAAATAAAATGAGAGCATTATTGAAAAAAAACTTAATACATGTACATCATTTGTATGTAGGTAAACATCAGTGATAACTGTTCACTAAGACTTCGTTATATTAGGACATCTTTATATATTTTTTCTTGATGAATTCTGGTTAAAAATGAAGTATCAACATGTCTATATAAAATCTTAGAGTAAAAACTCCGTCTCTAATATCCATTTCTTTGTTCAAGGTTTAAAAAAATGAAAAGAAACTGGAAGTTTAATGAGTAAATATGTTTATTATGTAGCGTGAAAAACGTTCATGTCAAATACAGACGAAAGTATTCTCTACAATATTGATTTACTTTCTTTAAAGTTGATAAAAATGCAGATTTAAAATCTATTCTTTAAAAAAATAAACGCCATTTAATATCAATATATTTTGCGTTAGGTATTAATTTAGATTGTTAATAGGCTTAAATCGACGCATTTTTGGATATTTATATTTTCCTCTTCCGTTAGGCGAAAAATGTCGTTTTGTTTAGATACATTTTCGCAAATATACAATAAAGATGCACTTGGAACCATGGCTACAGAGCGATTTATAATCTTATAGTCCAAGATCAAGTTTTTCCTTTTTAGCAAAATATTTTCCGTTGATGACCGTTGACCCATCCACAAACGATCCACCTCACTTGTCTGTTTTGGCTTTCCGTAGAGTTTTACTCTTTGACGTGGCATGAAAAAGGTAAAAGTCATTGTCATCACCCCCCTGTGCACAATATAGCACACACTGTTCCTTCAGTAATCTGAGAGTGTTTCTGCCTCGGGATATTCTAGTCAGAAATGTCTTTTTAGGAAAAGAAACGCACATGAAACTTGTATTCACTGATACTCGGGAATACGTGTAGACCTAGCGAATTGCTCACCAAACACGCTACAAAACGTTAAAACAAATGTGTATTTATCAATTTTTAGCTTACCTGAGCCAAAGGCTCAAGTGAGCTTTTCTGATCACAATTTGTCCGTTGTCTGTCGTCGTTGTCGTCGTGTTGTCGTCGTCGTCGTTGTCGTCGTTGTAAACTTTTCACATTTTCATCTTCTTCTCAAGAACCACTGGGCCAATTTCAATCAAACTTGCCATTAAGTATCCTTAGGTGAAGGGGATTCAGGTTTGTTCAAATGAAGGGCCATGCCCTCTTTCAAGGGGAGATAATTAGGAATTAGAGAAAAAGTAAAGGCGTATTTTAAAAATCTTCTTCTCAAGAACCACTTGGCCAAGAAAGATGAAACTCATAGTGAAGTATCCTCAGGTGGTGTAGATTCAAGTTTGTTCAAATCATGACTCCTAGGGCAAGGGTTGGGCCGTAATGGATGAGTAAATTTTACATTAGAATACATCAGAAAACCTTCAAAATTTAAAAATCTTCTTCTCTAGATCCCATAAGCAACAGAGATTGATTAGTTACATTAATATGCAACCAACCATATGTAGTGCATATTCAATTTTGTCTATTTTGTGGCCGTACGAAATGATATCAACAGATAAGTTTACCTTTGTTTATTTTTTTTTTTTGATCGGGCGCGGTGTACCAAATAAATGAAAACGAGGCTCATTTCAGCCATTGTTGATGTGGACGGTGAACTACCGTGACGGTGAAGACGTAATTGAAGTTTAGTGTTTGTTACACGGATCTAAAGCAAAAGTGTTCATTGCTGATTGTTGTTTTCATTCTGTAAGGTTTGAAGAGTAAAGTATTTAGCTGAATAATTACAACATTACGTATATTTGTTCATGCAGCATTAATATGTTATGCAGTGTTTAGGTACAGCAATCATACTGCGCAGTTGAAGTCTCTCAGAGAAAAGTCACACGGAGAAAAACAAGTCTATTTAGATACTGCTACATTTTACTAGTGTTATAGAAGATTGAGATGATCTATTTTTTAAATTTACTTAGTAGAAGGAAACGTAACAGTTTGTCATTGCATAATATAAATTTACGATTTTTTTTTTTACATTTCTAAGAGTTATCTCCCGTTGTCGGCGTAACGCACCTTTTCCCACTGTCTTTGTAGTGGAGTGACAATCCTAGAAAAAGATGCTTAGTTTTCGAGTTTAATGGACCGGCATACCCTACGGCTGAAAGTTATATTTTAT